AGAGAGTTAAGGTTCATGACAATAAAATTACGAGAGAGTAAATCATATTAAAGGGGAAAAAAGGCCAACAGTGGGGTTAACATGAGATAAATTAAAATAAGATAACAATTTGCCTTATATTGGTTAAACTATCACTGTGATCCCTTTTTCTTTCTTTTATCTTTCTCAAAAATTATTAAATACACTTCACTTGCAAAGGCTCTTTGTATCTTATCAGAAAGTCACAGCGACCAAATACAGTCACACAGAGTTTTTTAAGGCTCCAAAAGACTGGTGGATGCAAATGACAAGGAAGAAGTAGAGAATTTCAAAGGTCAGTAAAGAAAATTTCTATCTTGTTCTCCCACACTTTCATTATGAAGATAGTCATGTTCTAGCACCTTCTCTTACTGCTGGTGGTCTACTTAATTTATCTGACAGCCTTTTCTTATGTTTCATGATGTACCGGTAAGTGTTTTTGTGCTCACAATTTAGATAATTAAAGGATTTAAGGAAGCAGGCTTCAACCTTGCCTGTCAAGGCCAAGCTGAGCTGAAAGGACGTAATGCCCCAACAGAAAGACCGAGATACTCGATAACATATGTCCTCACTCAAGAATCAAGCTCAAGTCTTGGCAGTTTGTTAGTGTTTGAGCGCTTAATCAGCTGCTTGCACTGTATGCTTCCCAGGAAGCTGAGAATGTTTCTGGGTGTTCTATGATCTGCTGGGGTAATAATAAAAAAGCGCATTGAGCCTGCTGTTGAGCGGGGATATGCGCTATACAAATGCTATTTATTTATTATTATTATTATTAAGTCTTCTGCATGCAATGACGAAGTGCCCAAACCAACACTACACATGCTGGTGACAATATCAGACACTGCATAAAGAAAATTCTAGTCCATTTTCTAAAGACTGCACAGTGTTGTATGACTACTATAACATAAACCTGTAAGTTAATTTATATGATATCAATACCTAGTGGTTTAGTAAAAAGCACATACATACAAATTCTTACACAGCATTATTACAAGATGACTATAATGAATGAAATGTCGGTTAGAGTAAAAATATTATGTCTGATTGAACACATTGAAATAAGTATAATAAGTTAAGACATTGTTTATTCTACAATAAAAACATTGGACAGAGAAAATAAAGTGAACTAAGAAAACGAAGTTGGTACACTAAAAAAATAAAGTCTCTCATCTCACTCTCACTCCTTTTCTCACAGTTCAACACATGTTATTGTATCCTGCCATTACATGCCTGATGAAACCACCAACTCCCAAAAGCAGTACTGAATAGCAAATTAAATACTACACAGGACTAGAAATATAGAAGTCAGAGAGATGTTAACTCTTTCAAATCAACGAATGGAGATTATGCATGTCTGCCAAGTCCATCCGAAGGAGTATAATCCGCTTATATCGACATGCTTTGGGAAATGGATCTGATATATTGATATATATAAAATTATATAAAAAAGTCGATAAATGAAAATATAAAGCCAGAGAGGAAAAAACAAGGGGAGGTAAGCGGTAAAAAGACAACACAAATTTTAAAGCTGGTTGCCTCCCTTGATTCTTACACAACTGCACAGTGAAACTAACGAGAGGCAGAGGGGAGGTGGGGGAGTGGAGTTACGGTACAAAAGTCAAATGACGGAGCAACGCGAGGCGCACACTACACACCAGAGCAAACTTTGTTGTAACATCCTTATAAGGCCTGTTTATGGCCGCTTGCTGGGGAAATATAAAGGCTCACTGATTTACTGACAATGGCACTTGCCAGTGACAGACTGAGAAAGGGATGGGAAGGGGAGTGAGCGATCGGGAGGGGGGGGGGTAGGGAGGTGATACCCAGCGCACTGTACTGTGCTGGAGACTACATGACCTACTAAAACCTGGTGTGTCGAATAGGCAACTTGGCCAGTATGCGGACTTAGTCGATAAAAGAAAAATTGTCTTGTGAAGATATTGAAAGAAAAATTTCGTAATTGGAAAATATGTCGATATGAAAAAATGTCGATACATCGGCTGTCGATTTAAGTGGATTACACTGTACATAATTTTAGATTATCACGTTACCCTTTTCTTTGACTCTCCATACACGCAGAAGTTATAATTCATGTAATAAGATCCCGAAGACCTGAGAGAAAAGTTAGGAAATGTTATTATGCTACTGAAAATTTGTCATTATTTGTCAGAGAAAAGTAGTATTCTACTGAGCAAGTATAATTAATTAAGGCAGTGAAAGAGTAATATGCTCAGTTTAAAGAATGCTTTAGCTTTCTCATAACCCTAATTAGAAAAATACACACATTTATCAATAAATATATTGCAGGCTCTACTAGAAAAGCTTTATGAAGCTCAGCTGAAAAGGGATGCTGTGTATAAAGTACGATGTATTATTATGCACACCAAAAAAAATAATAATCTGTATAACACTGTTTTAACAGCATAGGCTTTTTTTGATGACCTGGTCATAACTTTGTAAAAAAATTAAACTAAACGAGCAGCATGAAATTTTTATCTTTGGTAATACAACATGAATAATTAATTTTCTCTCTCGTTTCTCCCTCCTTTGTTTATTCAGCTCTGGTTGTCTCTTTCACATACATACTCATGCACACTCATGTATATAAATAAGTCATAAAAAACAATTTTTTGCACACAACCTATACACAACTAACACATACACAGACAGACAGACTGATAATATAGGAGTCACGATGTTGTGGAATCAGGCGCTCGCCAATTTTTGAGCATATGGAGTTATTGATATCAACTGAAAGCTTATTCTCGCTCTGCTTTTATTGAAAAAATATCCATCTCACTTGAATAGAAGTCGAGATATTTGCGATTGAAGAAGGTGGAGTAGCCTGGACTCAGTTGTTCAATTAATGAGAGAATGACAGCCAAAGTTTGGTAACTTCAATAGCTTAACTCATTCGCTACGCCGAGCCGCGGGCCCCAGCGTGGATAAAGTGACTTCCCTTCGGCAAGCCACCCCCGACAGCTCAGACCTTTGAACACGTATTAATTAAATACATGTACAGTTTTTTAATATTCGTTAGCAACTATGCACACAGAATCTTACAATAAACTAATAGACAGCTTTCACAACTGTTTGACAACACAGGATGGCCTTTCCTTTCATTTCACATGGAAATTCAGAGAGATGTAACAATCATGTGAAAATAGGAGGGGATCAAAAGGACAACTGAAAAAAAAATATGTCATCATGCAGCCACATTCCCTGATACAGTCAAACCTACTCCAATCGCCACCTGTCCAAGACAATCGTCTGTACATATGAACACTGCGCTGCCCCCCCTCCTCTTTTTTTTTCCTTGTTGTAATGACGACACTATTTAAGGCATCCACCTGTCCAAGACATCCGCTCCCCCCCTCGACAATGAGTGGCTTGTCTTGGACAATTTCAACTGAACAATGTTTTCCCCTAACCTATGAACCCGAGCGCAAGCCTCAGCAGCGTGTTAATCAACTAAGCCTTCATTGGTTGAGTAGGCAGAGAACACAAACGCACAAAATTAGCAATACTTTCAACACTGCATTTAAATGTAGAATCACAAAAATTAAGCAGCATCAAATGCTGCACTTCAACATGATAGAATCACAAAATTATTCAACATTTTCAACACTGCATTCTAACACAGAACCACAAAAATTAAGCAATCTATTCAAATTCAACATTTCTTTGTAGATATTGTTGGTCAAAAAGTCCTTGACACAATAGCTCTATCGAAAATACAGGTAAATATGCTGCTGCAACTTGCAAACAGTGTCAAGCAATTTGAAGATATAATAGGTGATGCAATGTAATGAATAATGAGACAAGTTAAGAGAATATAAGTATAAGATAAGGTAAGATAAGAAAAGATAAGATAAGTTTCATTTATCCATTAGGGGAATTTTGGTTGGATATAACAGAACATCAACAGTATCAACATAGAAATGCATTCATGATTTTCTTGCACAGTGATACACATGACATACAATGATGCCCCATTCACTCACGACAAGCAAACCCAAACAGTGTGTCCTTAGGCTGGAACTCTCTCTCTCTCTCTCTCTCTCTCTCTCTCTCTCTCTCTCTCCCTCTCTCTCTCTCTCCTCTCTGTGTCTCTGTCCCTCTCCCACTCTCTCTCTCTCATCTCCCTAAGGCTTTTTCTGTCCTTCCATCACTGTATCTATCTCTGCCCGTTAGTCTGGCTCTCTCTCTCTCTCTCTCTCTCTCTGTCGCTCTCTCTCTATCTCGCTCTCTCTCCCTCTCTGTCTCTCTCCCACACTCTCTCATCTCCCTTTGGCTTTTTCTTTCCTTCCCTCGCTGTATCTATCTCTGCCCGTTAGTCTAGCTCTCTCTCTCTCTCTCTCTCTCTCTCTCTCTTTCTCTCTTTCTCTCTCTCTCTCTCCCTCTCTCTGTGCTATCTCTTTGTCTCTCTCTCTCTCTCTC